CAATTTTTACAATTTTTGGATTTCCGGTTATCGAATTTTCCGATTTCTTTAATTTTATAATATTTTGATTTTACAATGGAATACATATTTGATTTTTTGGATTTACCACTTTTTCGATTTTTGGATCTCCCAATTTTTATAATTTTTCTATTTTCAATTTTTCGTTTCCTTTTTCCAAATTTTTAATTTTCCCTTTTTCAATTTTTCGATTATCCAATTTGTGTTTTTTTTTTTTTAATGTTACGATTTATATCATAGTTCTTCGTGTACTTATTCAATTTTTTAGTTTTCAATCTTTGATTTTTCAATTCCTCTATTTTGCAATTTTTGGATTTCCAGTTATCCAATTTTCCGATTTCATTAATTTTCAATACTTCGATTTTACAATACATATTTCGTTTTTTCCGATTTTAACTTGTTAATTTTCTCATTTCTTGACCTCTAAATTTTTCAGTTTTTCGTTTCTTTAATTTTTCGATTTGCAATTTTTCGATTTTTAGTTTCTCAATTTTTAATTTTTCGATTTTTCAATTTTTCGTTTCGTCAGTTTTTCAGGCTCTATTTTTATTTTTTATTTTCCTAAATTTTTAAAAATCGTTTTCTAAATTTTATATCACAATTTTTCGCGTATTCAATTTTTCAAATTTAAAAATTTTCGCTTTTTCAAATCCTCGATTTTCCAGTTTTTGAAATTTTCATTTTTGCATTCTAAGTTATCCAGTTTTCCGATTTCTTTAATTTTTAGCATTCCGATTTTACTATACTTATTTCGTTTTTTTTTGGATTTTGCACTTTTTCCATTTTTAAGTTTCTATTTTTCCAATTTTCAATTTTTTGTTTCCTTAATTTTTCAACTTCTTGATTTTTATTTTTCATTTTCCCGATTTTTTCAATTTTTATTTTCTTGAATTTATGTCACAATTTTTCGTTTATTCAATTTTTCAAATTTTCATTCTTCGATTTTTCAATTCCTCGATTTTCTATTTTTTTAATTTTTCACTTTTGTAATTTTTAGATTCCAAGTTATTCAGTTTTTGGATTTTTAAGTTTCTTAATTTTTATTATAATTTTTCGTGTTTTCAATTTCTCGTATTCTTAATTTTTATTTTTTATTTTCCCAATTTTTTAATTTTCGTTTCTCGATTTTATATCACAATTTTTCGTTTATTCAATTTTTAAAATTTTTAATCTTTGCTTTTTCAATTCCTCGATTTTCCAGTTTTTTAATTACATATACAGTTTTGCAATTTTTGGATTTTTAAGTTTCTTAATTTTTATAACTTTTCGATTTTTCACTTTTTTGTTTCCATAATTTTTCAAGTTCTTGATTTTTTTTTCATTTTGCGGTTTTTTAATTTTTATGTCACAATTTTTCGTATATTTTTTTAATTGCAATTTTTAGATTTCCAATTAATACAATTTTCCGATCTCCTTAATTTTCAATCTTTCGATTTTACAATTTACATATTTCGTTTTTTCCGAATTTAATTTGTCAATTTTTCAACTCCTCGGTTTTTTATTTTTCGATTTTTCAATTTTTGGATTTCCACTTATTTCAAATTCTTGATTTTTATTTTTCATTTTTTTTTTTTAATATACGTTTTTTCGATTTATATCACAATTCTTCGTGTACTTAATTTTTTAAATTTTAAGTGTTCGATTTTTCAATTCCTCTATTTCGTAATTTTTGGATTTCCAGTTATCCAATTTTCCGATTTCATTAAGTTTCAATATTTCGATTTGACAATACACATACATTTCGTTTTTTCCGATTTCAACTTGTTAATTTTCTCATTTCTCGACCCCTAAATTTTTCAATTTTCAATTTGCAATTTTTCGATTTTTAGTTTCTCAGTTTTTAATTTTTCGATTTTTATTTTTTATTTTTCCAACTTTTAAAAATCATTTTCTACATTGTATATCACAATTTTTCGCGTATTCAATTTTTCAAATTTAAAAATTTTCGCTTTTTCAAATCCTCGATTTTCCAATTTTTGAAATTTTCATTCTTGTAATTTTTGGATTCTAAGTTATCCAATTTTCCGATTTTTTTAATTTTTAGCATTGCGATTTTACTATACATATTTCGTTTTTTTTGGATTTTGCACTTTTTCGATTTTTAAGTTTCTATTTCTAGTTCCTTAATTTTTCAACTTCTTGATTTTTATTTTTCATATTCCCGATTTTTTCAATTTTTATTTTCTTGTATTTGTCACAATTTTTCTTTTATTAAATTTTCAATCTTCGACTTTTCAATTCCTCGATTTTCTATTTTTTTAATTTTTCACTTTTGTGATTTATAGATTCCAAGTTATTCAGTTTTTCGATTCTTAAGTTTCTTAATTTTAATAATTTTTCGAATTTTCAATTTTTCGTAGCCTTAATTTTTTCGTACTTATTCTAAATTTTTCAAGTTCTTGATTTTTATTTTTCATTTTCCCAATTTTTTTTAATTTTCGTTTCTAGATTTTATATCATAATTTTTCGTTTATTCAATTTTTCAAATTTTCAGTCTTCAAATTTTTCAATCTTTCGTTTCTTAATTTTTCATTTTTCGATTGTTAATTTCTCAGTGTTTAATTTTTCGATTTTTCAATTTTTTGTTTCCTGGGTTGTTTCTTAATTTTTATAAATCTTCGGTTTTTCGTTTCCTTAATTTTTCATTTTCCCGATTTTTTTTTAAATCATTTTCTCGATATTATGTCACAATTTTTCGTTTATTCAATTTTTCAAATTTTCAATTCCTCTATTTTCCATTTTTTTAATTTTGCAATTTTTGGATTTCCAGTTATCCAATTTTTGGATTTCTTTAATTTTATAATATGTATTTCGAATTTACAATATATTTCGTTTTTGTTTTTTTGATTTTTAAGTTTCTTAATTTTTATAATTTTTCGATTTTTCGTTTCCTTAATTTTTCAAGTTCTTGATTTTTACCCGATTTTTTAATTTTCATTTTTTCGAATTTATGTCACGATTTTTCGTTTATTCAAATTTTCAATCTTCGATTTTTTCAATTCCTTGATTTTCCAAATTTTTAATTTTTAAGTTTTGTAATTTTTGGATTCCAAGTTATCCAATTTTCCGATTTCTTTAATTTTTAGTATTCCGATTTACAATACATATTTCGTTTTCTTGGATTTTGCACTTTTTCGATTTTTAAGTTTCTTCATTTTTCAAGTTCTTGATTTTTATTTTTTATTTTCTCTATTTAATGTCATAATTTTTCGTTTATTCAATTTTTTAGTTTTCGATTTTTCATTTCTTCAATTTTCCGATATTTTAATTTTTCAATTTTTCAAGTTTTGGATTTCTAGTTATCCAAGTTTCCAATTCTTTTAATTTTCAATATTTCAATTTTACAATACCTACATTTCGTTTTTTCCTATTTTTGTTTGTCAATTTTTCAGTTTTCGATTTTTATTTTCTCAATGTTTAATTTTTCGGTTTTTAAATTTTTTGTTTCCTGGGTTTTTCGAGCTCCTTATTTTTATTTTTTATTTTTTCAATTTTTTAAAAAGTTAAATCATTTTCTCAACAATTTTTCAAAATGCCAATCTTCGCTTTTTCAATTACTGGTTTATCGAAATTTTTCATTTCTTTAATTTTATAATATTTCGATTTTACAACACAACGGGTGTTCACATCAAGTTGGCATTGCTTTTTTGATAGAAGAAAACGTAGAGAAAAACGCATGTGTTTTATTAATTCATACCGCTCTATACAATTGATATTTCCGCGTTGTCAGCTGTCATCGATTAAATTTTAGGTTAATTGTAGACATACTTCACAACGTTTACAAAAAATCAAAGCCAACTTGATCATTTTTTAGTTGAACACCCGATATTTCTTTTTTTGGGTTTTGCACTTTTTCGATTTTTTAGTTTCTTAATTTTTATAATTTTTTCTATTTTTCAATTTTGCATTTCTACAATTTTTCAAGTTTTTGATTTCTATTTTTAGCAATTTTTACTTATCCCCATATTTTAATTTTCATTATCGCGATTTTATCTCACAATTTTTCGTTTATTCAATTTTTTTAATTTTCCAATTTTGCATTTTTTGGATTTCTAGGTATCCAATTGTCCGATTTCTTTTTAATTTTCAATATTTGGATTTTACAATAGATATTTCGTTTTTTCGATTTCAATTTGTCAATTTTCCGTTTCCTGAGTTTTTCATGTTCTTAATTTTTATTTTTCACTTTCCCGGTTTTTTAATTTTTATTTTCTGGATTTTGCACTTTTTCCGATTTTTAATTCAGTTTCTCAGTTTTTAATCTTTCGATTTTTTCATTTTTAACTTTTCAGTTTTACAATTTTTCCCGTTTTTGATTCGAAAAGTTAAAAAATCGAAAAACTGCAAATCGAAGAACTGAAAAAACCAAAAATTGAAACACTGAAAAAGTAAAACTCGAGAAACTTAAAAATCGAAAATATTAATCAAGGAGAAAGAACGAATCAAATCGAAAAATTGAAAAATTAAATTTCGATAAATTGAAAAATGGAAAAATTCTGACATCGTAAAATTGAAAAGGTGAATATTTTTAAAAAATATTAATATATATGTATGTAAAATGAAAACTAGAAAAATTGCAAATTAAAAGTTGAAGAAATGAAAGATCTAGAAACTGGAAAATCTAAAGTTGGAAAATCGAAAAATTGCACCTAGAAAAGTTGAAAAATCAAAAATTGAAAAATTTCACATTAAAAAAAAGAAAAAACTATAAAATCAGAACCTTCAAAAATCTAAAAATTGTGAAAATAAAGAAAATAAAAAACCGAAACGAAAAATTGCAAATCGAAAATTTGAAGAAATGAAAAACTAAACCAAAAATTTGAAAAAGTACAAAATCTAAAAATTGAAGAAACAAAAAAATGAAAAATTAAAAAATCGCAAATCGAAACATCGAAAAATCGAAAATTATAAAAATAAAGAAAATAAATGAACAATTGCAAATCGACAAACTGAAAAAAACAAAAAAATGAAAAATTTAAAAATTCAAGTCAAGGTTTTATTTTAATAATAATAATAATAATAGAGTTTAAATTATTTAAAATTTTATTAAAGTAACGGGATTTGGCGAGGGAAGTTCTGCCAAGTTAACCTTCAACCAATTTTTTATACTCTAGAGTGGTCGTGGTGGTTTCTCCCGGAATCTCCAGAACTCTGTCTTTTAGCTCGACTTTCGAGTTGTCATGTTCCGCTGCCACTTGCAGTCCCAGCTTCCTGCCAATCCTCTGCGAAACAGGCGAACTAAAAATTGCAGTCACCGCCTGCGGAACTGGCTCTAGAGTGACCGGACTTCCGTCGACGGGTTGCTTCACGTTAACCCCGTTGTGAAGCTTCTGGGCGACTTCCACAGAAAACCGACACAGTTTTTCGGCGATACCTTGGCGCCGGTACTCGTTCGACGTACCCAGGAGGAAGATTTCCATCACACAGTCGACCTGGAGCAACTCGAAGAGGTCGCACAACTTCTCGGTGTTGATGATCATGTAGATGATGTCCACCGACTTGGAGTTTTTCAGAGTTCGGGCGAAATTTTCCAAGAAGTGGTCGTTTTTTAGCTGAAGTAGCACTTGGTTTAGTCAAATAGAATAAGATAGGTGGTGTTACAACTCACCCAAAATTTGTTGAAGGCGACTCCCGCCACTTTGTCGTTGGTTTTGTCGACGGCTATCACACTGACGCCGTCTTTGGCTGTGGCTCTGGAGAGTAGGTCCAGTTCGGCAAGGGCTTCAGGGTCGTTGGGGATTCCAAGGGCTTCGTTGAGGCTGCCGGGGATGAAGAGGGCGTTTCTGATGACCTCGCAAGCCTGGTCTAAGTATTTTGGGGTCAGGAGTTCGTAGTGTATGGATGCCATTTTTAGAGGAATGTGAACAGACTTGTTTGGACGAGTATTAGTTTATCAGATAAAAGGTTAGGAATTGAAGCTAGAAGTGTGAATCGTGTTGCATACGGGTGCTCACTATGTGGTACCCAGTGTGAAGGTAAAAAACGTTGCTATAATTATGTTTATCGTTTTTTATATTTACTTTTTTGATATACAATTTTTCAGTTTCACAGCTTTTAATTTTTAAATTCTACAATTTTTCCACGTTTCGATTATTGAATTTTTCGTTTTTTCGGTTGTCTTTGCAATTTCTCGATGTGAAAATTTCCGCCTTTTTATTTTCAATTTTTCAATTTTTTTTTAAATTTTACAATTGTTTTCGAATTTTATAAATTTTCGACTTTTCAGTTTTTGAATTTTCCGATCTTTCGGTTTGTTTTTTCAATTTTTCGATTTTTCACTTTCTTGGTTTTTGAAATTTTCGATTTTTTTTTTATTCTTAAGAACTTCCTTTCTTCAGTTCTTCGATTTGCAATTTTCTGGTTTTTAATTTAAATTTTGCAATTTTTCAATATTTTGAATTTTAGAATTTTTCGACTTTCCAATTTTTGACTTTTTCGATCTTTTGGTTTTATATTTTTTCAATTTTTCGATGTGCAATTTTCACTTTTTTATTTTAAATTTCCGATTTTGCAGCTTGTCGATTTTTGAAATTTTCAATTTTTTTTTATTCCTTAAATACTTCTCCGATTTTTAATTTTTCGATTTTTTTCAACGTTTCGTTCTTTCAAATTTCCAATTTGCAATGTTTCTAGTTTTTAATTTAAAATTTTCAATATTTTATTTACAATTTTTCAATTTTCGAATTGTCGGTCTCGATGTGTAATTTTTCACGTTTTTTAATTTTAAACTTTTTTTTAGTTCCCCCAAAGTACCTCCCCGATTTTTAATTATATGATTTTTTTCAATTTTCCGTTTCGCAGTTTTTCTAGTTTTTAATTTAAATTTCACAATTATTATCGAATTTTATAAATTTTCGAGTTTTCAGTTTTTGAATTTTCCAATCTTTCGGTTTGTTTTTCAATTTTTCGATTTTTCAGTTTCTTGGTTTTTGAAATTTTCGATTTTTTTATCCTTAAGTACTTCAGAGATTTTTAATATATTCATTTTTTCAATGTTTCGTTACTTCAGTCGTCCGGTTTGCAATTTTTCTAGTTTTTAATTTAAATTTTGGAATTTTTCGATTTTTCAATTTTTGAATTTTTCGATCTTTTGGTTTTATGGTTTTTCAATTTATCGATGTGCAATTTTTCACCTTTCTTATTTTAAATTTCCAATTTTGCACCTTGTCGATTTTTGAAATTTTCAGTTTTTTTTTATTCCTTAAATACTTCTCTGATTTTTAATTTTTCGATTTTTTTCAACGTTTTGTTCCTTCAAATTTCCAATTGTAATTTTTTTCCTCTTTAATTTAAAATTTTCAATATCATTTACAATTTTTCAACTTTTCGATTTTTGAATTTTCCGAATTATCGATCTCGATGTGCAATTTTTCCCGTTTTCAATTTTTAAACTTTTGGCTTTTCGGCTTGTCGATTTTTGAAATTTTCGATTTTTTAATTCCCAAAATACCTCCCCGATTTTTAATTATATGAATTTTTCAATTTCCCTTTCGCAATTTTTCGAATTTTTGAATTTTTCGATTTTTTGCTTTTACGTTTTTTCATTTCCTCGATGTGCAATTTTTCACGCTTTTTATTTTAAATTTCCGATTTTGCAGCTTGTCGATTTTTGAAAGTTTTAATTTTTTTTTTTTTGATTCCTTAATTAGTTCTCCGATTCTTAATTTTTCGATTTTTTTCAATGCTTCGTTCCTTCAAATTTCCTTTTCTAGTTTTAATTTAAAATTTTCAATATTTTATTTACAATTTTTCAACTTTTCGGTTTTTGAATTTTCACGTTTTCAATTTTCAAACTTTTGATTTTTCGGCTTGACGATTTTTGAAATTTTCGATTTTGTTTAATTCTCAAAGTACCTCCCCGATTTTTAATTACATGATTTTTTTCAATTTTCCGTTTCCCAATTTTTCTAGCTGAATTTTTCGATATTTCGGTTTTGTCTTTTCACGTCCTCGGTGGACATTTTTTCAGGTTTTTATTTTTCGATTTTTCAGTTTCTTGGTTTTTGAAATTTTCGATTTTTTTTATCCCTTAATAGTTCCCAGATTTTTAATATTTTCATTTTTTCAATGTTTCGTTTCTTCAGGTGTCCAGTTTGCAATTTTTCTAGTTTTTAATTTAAATTTAGTAATTTTTCGATTTTTCAATTTCACGATTTTTAATTTTTAAATTTTACAATTTTTCGACTTTTCAATTTTTGCATTTTTCGATCTTTTGGTTTTATGTTTCTTCAATTTTTCGATGTCCAACTTTTCACCTTTTTTATTTTAAATTTCCGATTTTGCTGCTTGTCGATTTTTGAAATTTAAATTTTTTTTTGATTCCTTAAATACTCCAATTTTTAATTTTTCGATTTTTTTCAACGTTTGGCAAATTTCCAATTTGCAATTTTTCTAGTCTTTAATTTAAAATTTTCAATATTATTTACAATTTTTCAACTTTTCGATTTTTGAATTTTTCGAATTATATCGGTCTCGATGTGCAATTTTTCACGTTTTCAATTTTCAAACTTTTGATTTTTCGGCTTGTTGATTTTGGAAATTTTCGATTTTTTTTAATTCCCAAAAGTACCTCCCCGATTTTTAATTATATGAGTTTTTCGATTTTCCGTTTCGCAATTTTTCTAGTTTTTAATTTATATTTTACAATTTTTCGACTTCAGCTTCTCGATTTTTACAATTTTCATTTTTTTTGGACTCCTTAAGTTCTACCCCGTTCTTGAATTTTTGATTGTCAATGTTTCGATTTGGAATTTTTCTAGTTTTTAATTTAAATGTTTCATTTTTTGATTTACAATTATTTAGTGTAAAAACTTTTAATTTTTGAGTTCTACAATTTTTTGACGTTTCGGTTATTGAATTTTTCGTTTTTTCGGTTTTATGCCTTTTCAATTTCTCGATGTGAAAATTTTCGCCTTTTTATTTTCAATTTTTCAATTTTTTTCAGTGTTTTGTTTCTTCAATTTTTCTAGATTTTAATTTAAATTTCTCAATTATTACTGAATTTTGTAACTTTTCGACTTTTCAGTTTAGAATTTTCCAATCTTTTGGTTTGTTTTTTCAATTTTTCGATTTTTCAGTTTCTTGGTTTCTGAAATTTTCGATTTTTTTTATCCTTAACTACTTCCCAGATTTTTAATATTTTGATTTTTTCAATGTTTTCACGTTTTCAATTTTCAAACTTTTGATTTTTCGGCTTGTCGATTTTTGAAATTTTCGATTTTTTTTAATTGTCAAAGTACCTCACCGATTTTTAATTACATGATTTTTTTCAGTTTTCCGGTTCGCAATTTTTCTAGCTTTCATTTTAAATTTTACAATTTTTCGACTTTTCAGGTGCTGAATTTATCGATCTTTCGGTTTTGTGTCTTTTTACTTTCTCGGTGGACAATTTTTCAGGTTTTTATTTTTCAATTTTTCAGTTTCTCGATTTTTGAAATTTTTCGAATTTTTGTGGACTCCTTAAGTTCTTCTCTGTTCTTGAAATTTTGATTTTCAATGTTTCGTTTCTTAAATTTTTCGATTTGGAATTTTTCTAGTTTTTAATTTAAGTTTTTCAATTTTTGATATACAATTTTTCAGTTTCACAACTCTTAATTTTTGAATTCTATAATTTTTCCACGTTTCGATTATTGCATTTTTCGTTTTTTCGGCTTTGTGTCTTTTCAATTTCTCGAAGTGAAAATTTTCGCCTTTTTTATTTCAATTTTTTATTTTTTTTTAGTGTTTTGTTTCTTCATTTTTTTTTTTAGATTTTAATTTAAATTTCACAATTATTATTGAATTTTATAACTTTTTGACTTTTCAGTTTTTGAATTTTCCGATCTTTCGGTTTGTTTTTTCAATTTTTCGATTTTTCAGTTTCTTGGTTTTTGAAATTTTAGATTTTTTTATGCAAAAGTACTTCCCAGATTTTCAATATTTAGATTTTTTCAATGTTTCGTTTCTTCAGTTTTCGGGTTTGCAATTTTCTAGTTTTTAATTTAAATTTTTCAATTTTTGATATACAATTTTTCAGTTTCACAGCTTTTAATGTTTGAATTCTACAATTTTTCCACGTTTCCATTAGTTATTGAATTTTTCGTTTTTTCGGTTTTGTGCCTTTTCAATTTCTCGATGTGAAAATTTTCGCCTTTTTATTTTAAGTTTTTCATTTTTTTTCAGTGTTTTGTTTCTTCAATTTTTTTAGATTTTAATTTAAATTTCACAATTATTAACGAATTTTATAACTTTTCGACTTTTCAGTTTCTGAATTTTCCAATCTTTCGGTTTGTTTTTTCAATTTTTAGATTTTTCAGTTTCTTGGTTTTTGAAATTTTCTATTTTTTTTTATCCTTAACTACTTCCCAGATTTTTAATATTTTGATTTTTTCAATGTCTCAGTTCTTCAGTTTTCCGGTTTGCAATTTTTCTAGTTTTTAATTTAAATTTGGTAATTTTTCAAATGTTCAATTTCACGATTTATAATTTTTGAATTTTATAATTCTTCGACTTTTCGATTTTTAAATTTTTTTATCTTTTGGTTTTATGTTTCTTCAATTTTTCGATGTGCAACTTTTCACCTTTTTTATTTTAGATTTCCGATTTTTCAGCTTGTCGATTTTTGAAATTTTTAATTTTTTTTTGATTCCTTAATTAGTTCTCCGATTTTTAATGTTTCGATTTTTGTCAACGTTTCGTTCCTTCAAATTTCCAATTTGCAATTTTTCTAGTTTTTAATTTAAAATATTCAATATTTTATTTAAGATTTTTCATTTTTCGTTTTTTGAATTTTTGAAGTTATCGGTCTCGATGTGCAATTTTTCATGTTTTCAATTTTCAAACGTTTGATTTTTCAGCTTGTCGATTTTTGAAAATTTCTATTTTTTTAATTCCCGATTTTTAATTATATGATTTTTTTCAATTTTTCGTTTCGCAATTTTTCTACTTTTTAATTTAAATTTTACAATTTTTCGACTTCAGCTTCTCGGTTTTCATTTTTTTTTGGACTCCTTAAGTTCTTTCCCGTTCTTGAATTTTTGATTTCCAATGTTTCGTTTCTTGAATGTTTCGATTTGGAATTTTTCTAGTTTTTAATTTAAATTTTTCAATTTTTGATATACATACATTATTGAATTTTTCCTTTTTCGTTTTTGTGTCTTTTCAATTTTTCGATGTGAAAATTTTCTCCTTTTCATTTTCAATTTTTCAATTTTTTTCAGTGTTTAGTTTCTTCAATTTTTCTAGATTTTAATTTAAATTTCACAATTATTATTGAATTTTATAACTTTTCGACTTTTCAGTTTTTGAATTTTCCGATCTTTCGGTTTGTTTTTTCAATTTTTCGATTTTTCAGTTTCCTGGTTTTTGAAATTTTCGATATTTTTTATCCTTAAGTACTTCCCAGATTTTTAATATTTTCATTTTTCCAATGTTTCGTTTCTTCAATTGTCCGGTTTGCAATTTTTCTAGTTTTTTATTTAAATTTTGTAATTTTTCGATTTTTCAACTTCACGATTTATAATTTTTAAATTTTACAATTTTTCGACTTTTCAATTTTTGAATTTTTCGATCTTTTGTTTTTATTTTTTTTCAATTTTTCGATGTGCAATTTTTCACGTTTTCAATTTTCAACCTTTTGATTTTTCAACTTGTCGATTTTTGAGATTTTCGAGTTTTTTATTCCCGAAGTACCTACCCGATTTTTAATTATATGATTTTTTTTCAATTTTTCGTTTCGCAATTTTCCTAGTTTTTAATTTAAATTTTACAATTTTTCGACTTTTCAGTGTTGAATTTTCCAATCTTTCGGTTTGTTTTTTAATTTTTCGATTTTTCAGTTTCTTGGTTTTTGAAATTTTCGATTTTTTTTTGTTCTTAAGTACTTCCCAGATTTTTAATATTCTGATTCTTTCAATGTTTCGCTTCTTCTATTTTCCGGTTTGCAATTTTTCTAGTTTTTTATTTAAATTTTGCAATTTTTCGATTTTTCAATTTCAAGATTTTTAATTTTTAAATTTTACAATTTTTCGACTTTTCAATTCTTGAATTTTTTGATCTTTTGCTTTTGTTTCTTCAATTTTTCGATGTGCAATTTTTCACCTTTTTATTTTAAATTTACAATTTTGCAGCTTGTCGATTTTTAAAATTTTCAGTTTTTTTTTTGCTTCCTTAAATACTTCTCCGATTTTTAATTTTTCTAGTTTTTAATTTAAAATTTTCAATATTTTATTTACAATTTTTCAACTTTTCGATTTTTGAATTTTCCGAATTATCGGTCTCGATGTGCAATTTTTCACATTTTCAATTTTCAAACTTTTGATTTTTCGGCTTGTCGATTTTTGAAATTTTCGATTTTTTTTTATTTCCCAAAGTAGCTCCCCGATTTTTAATTAGATGATTTATTAATGTTTCGTTTCTTAAATTTGTCGATTTGAAATTTTTCTAGCTTCTAATTTAAATTTTTCAATTTTTGATATACAATTTTTCAGTTTCAAGCTTTTAATTTTTGAATTTAAAATTTTTCGACATTTCGATTATTGAGTTTTTGTTTTTTTCGGGTTAACATTTTACAGTAGGCAACCAATAATTCAGTTTTAACAATTAGTTTGTTACGTATCTCATTGAAATACGAAATAGCCAAATACACACGAGATTTTGCTCCAGCTCAATTTATAAACAAATTTATTAATAAATATATTTATAAATAAAACATTTTAAAAATAAACAAAATTATTGCCACTACAAAACTGATTTATAGCTTCTTATATTCCAACGTGATCTTGGTGGTACCATTAGTAATAACATCCGAAAACTTCGTCCCTTGAAACTCCATCTCGCTGTAAAGTTTTTCAGCACCGATTTCAAACCCCAAGTGTCTTCCAATTTTCTGTGTCGCTATAGTTGCGAAAGTAGAACAAATAACTTTAGGTCTGGGTCCCAGCGGCATCTCGGTACCATCAAGCGACTTCCTAACATTGACACCCTTCGCCAAATTGGTACCAATTTCCAAAGTAAGTTCGCTCAGCTTCTTGGCTATACCTTTCCCTCTATACTCAGTCGCAGTTCCCAAAAACATCAACTCTAAAAGACAATCGGTCTGGTAGTACTCAAAGAGATTGAAGAGGCTGTCGATTTCAGCCATAAGTTCGACGAGAGCTTTAGACCGGGGACTCTTCCAAGATTTTGCAAAATTGTTAAAGATGGGATCATTCTTCACCTTAAATTATTATTAAAATCTCACTTTGTATTGTGGTGTTTGAGTGAATTGTACAGACATACCTGTATTTTATTAAACACGGTTCCTACAACTTTGTTGGTGTTTTTATCAATCGCTATGACACTGATTCCATCTTTGGCAATTTCGTTAGTCATGTCACTAAGTTCGCGAACAGCTTGGGGATCTTCGGAAATACCGAAAGCCATGGAAACATTTTCTTCAGGGTAAAATGAGATTTCTAACATTTTGGTGGCTTCTTCCAGGTAGTCTGTCGTCAAAGGTTGGCAATAGACGTCATCTTAAACAAAAAAAAGTGAAACAATAATACAAACTACATTTTCTAGTTTTTTTTTTTCAACTGAACCTAGAAAATTACAGCAGACAGAGGACACAAATTACGTAATTAGAGTAGTTTTCGTTTGTAGTTTACTAAAATCCAAGGTCTTAATTGAGATTAACAACACACCGCATTTATCTGACGCTATTTTGAGCACACATGATAACGATAATAAATAACTTACCATTAACCCACCATTGAGTATCCATTGTGGCGACTTTCTTGTCGTGTTGTTTACGTGAAAATGTGGAGTTTCCAACTGGCAACCTTCAAGCCACTTGTTTTGCTGTACAAGGTTATCTATCCAAACGCATTTCTTTATGGGAGTATATAAATTTGTGTATCTGTTCTGTTGTTTCTGAGAAACCTTTGGCGATAATTATTATTCACCACTAGAATGTAAATTAGTACTGAAGTATGTATTCAATTTTCCACTTGAAAATTAAACGACCTAGTTATGAAGCCACAAGTGTAGTTAAACATTTCTCCGAGGTCGAATTGCTCCATTCCACCTGGTCACCTTTTCTCTTTAACTTGAATGAAAACCAATCCTCCATTAATTTTTTCTAAATTTTTGAATTTTCGATTTTTTTCAATGTTCGGTTCCTTCAATTTTTTTATTTGCAATTTTTCTAGATTTTAACTAAAATTTCACAATTACTCTATTAATTATTTTTCGACTTACTTAAATTTTTGAATTTTTCGTTTTTCCAATTTTCCGATTTTTGAAATTTTCGATTTTCCGGTATTACAATTTTTCTAGTTTTTGATTTAAATTTTTTAATTTTTGCTTTATCTATCGGTTTTGTCTTTTTCAATTTTTCGTCGTGCAATTTTTTACGGTTTCAGTCTTCAACCTTTCGATTTTTCAGCTTGTCGACTTTTGAAATTTTCGATTTTTTTTTTATTCCTTAAGTACTTCCCTGATTTTTGATTTTTCGATGTCTTTCAGTGTTTCGTTTCTTCAGCCTTTCTGTTTACAATTTTTCTAGTTTTTGATTAAAATTTTTTAATTTTTAACTGGCAATTTTTCGATTTTTCATTTTCACGATTTTTAAATTTTGAATTTTACAATATTTCGATTTTTCAATTTCTCCATCTGTAGTTTTTTAGGTCTTTCATGTTAAATTTTTCGATTTTTCAGCTATGTTTCGTTCCCTCAGTTTTTCGGTTCGTAATTTTTATAGTTTTTAGTTTAAATTTTTCAATTTTTATTTGCAGTTTTCCGATTTAATAATTTTAGTTTTCGAATTTTGGAATTTTTCGTTCTTTCGGTTTTGTGTTTTTTCAATTTCTGGATATGCAATTTTTCACATCTCTGGATATTTGAAATTTTCTATATATTTTTTTTTGATTCAGGAAGTTTTTACTTTAAGCTTTTCAATTTGCGACTTGAGGTCTCGTTTTCTCGATTTCACGATTTTTAATTTTTGAATTTTACAATTTTTTCACGTTTCGATTTTTGAGTTTTTTGATTTTTCGTTTTTTTTTTCAGTTTATCGGCGCATTGCACATTTTAATTTTCAATTTTCCGTGTTTTCACTGTTTTGTCTCTTCAATTTCTCGATGTGCAATTTTTCACGTTTTTGATTTTCTGCTTTTCAATTTTTCAATTTCTCGAATTTTGCAGTTTTAGTTTTTTTTTAATTTCGTAAGTATTTCCCCGATTTTTAATTTCAGTGTTTCGTTTTTTCAATATTTCGGTTTTTTCATTGTCTTGTTTCTTCAATTTGTTATTCACAATTCTTCTAGCTTTTGATTTAAATTTTTCACTTTTCACTTGCACGATTTTTAATCAATTTTTGAATTTTCGATCCTTCGCTTTAGTCTTCAATTTCTGGATACGCAATTTTTCACGTTTTTCGACTTTTCACCTCCTCAATTTTTGAAATTTTAGATTTTTTTCTTTTCCTGAAGTACTTTTACGTGATTCGTTTCTTTAATTTCTCTTTTTTTTTTATTTAGTATTTTCAATATTTGACTTGTAATTTTCGGAGTTTTCAATTTCACGATTTTTGAAATTCTCAATTTTTCAGCTTTTCATTTTTAAAATTTTTCGATCTTTCGGTTTTGTGTCTTTTTAATTTCTGCATGTGCAATTTTTCGCGTTTTTAATATTCATTTTTTTTTATTTTCAACTGCTCGATTTTTGAAATTTTTGATTCTTTTGTATTCCTCAACTTCTTTCTCGATTTTTTTATCAATTTTTTCGTTTCTTGAATTTTTCGATTAGCAATTTTTATGGTTTTTAATTTAAATTTTTGAATTTTAATTTAATTTTTGGATATTTCGGTTTTGTGTCTTTTCAATTTCTCGATGTGCACTTTTTCGCGTTTTTAATGTTCATTTTTTTGATTTTTCATCTTCTCGATTTTGAAATTTTTGATTCTTTGGTATTCCTCAACTTCTTTCTCGATTTTTTTATCAATTTTTTCGTTTCTTCAATTTTTCAATTAGCAATTTTTATAGTTTTTAATTTAAATTTTTTAATTTTAATTTAATTTCTCGATATTTCGGTTTTGTGTCTTTTCAATTTGTCGATGTGCAATTTTTCATGTTTTCCCTTAAGTACTTCCCCGATTTTTAATTTTGTTTATTTTCAATGTTTGGTTTCTTCAATTTTTCTAGTTTTCAATTTTAATTTTAGAATTTTTGATTTGCAATCTTCCGATTTTTAATTTTTCAACTTTCCAGTTGTTGAATTTTTCGATATTTCGGTTTTGTGTTTTTTCACGTTCTCGCTGTGCAATTTCTCACGTTTTTAATTTTCGATTTTTGAAATTTTCCATTTTTCTTGGATTCCTTAAGTACTTCCCGATTTTTTCAGTGTTTCGTTTCAATTTTTCGATGTGCAATTTTTCACTTTTTTATTTTTCATTTTTACGATTTTTCAACTTCTCGATTTTTGAAATTTTCTACGTTTTGTTTTATTTATGAAGTACTTCCCTGATTTTTAATTTTGGATTTTTTCAATGTTTCGTGTCTATTTTCGTTTTAAATTTGTCAATTTGTGACTTGAAGTTTTCATTTTCTCGATTTCACGATTTTTAATTTTTGAATTTAACAATTTTTTGAATTTTGGATTTTTTGATATTTCGTTTTTTTCAGTTTCAGTTCAGCACATTGCACGTTTTAATTTTCAATTTTTAGTTTTTTCAATGTTTTGTGTCTTCAATTTTTGAGTATCTCTCCGAATTTTAATTTTTCGATTTCTTTTCTAGTATTTGTAAAATTTTTCAATTTGTAAATTTTTATTTTCGATTTAACGATTTTTAATTTTTGAATTGTACAATTTTCAGAGTGTTCGATTTTTTGATTTTTCGATCTTTGGATTTTGTGTCTTCAGTTTCTCGATGTGCCATTTTTCACGTTTTTGATTTTATGTTTCTTCAATCTTTGTGGTTTTTCATTTAAATTTTTGAATTTCAATTTAATTTGTCGATATTTCGGTTGTCTTTTCAATTTCTCGATGTGCAATTTTTTTAATCTTTAAGTGCTTCCTCGATTTTTTTTATTTTCAGTATGTTTGGTTTCTTCAATTTTTCGTTTCGCAATTTTCCTAGTTTTCAGTTTAAATTTTATAATTTTTGATTTGCATTTTTCCGATTTTTCAATTTTACGATTTTTAATTTTTGAATTTCATAATTTTCCAACTCTCCAGTTGTATTTTCCGATACTTCGGTTTTGTGTCTTTTCACTTGCTCGCTGTGCAATTTCTTACGTTTTTAATTTTTTTAAGTGGCTTTTTTCAATCTTGCCAGGTTTTTTAATTTTTGAATTTTACAATATTTCGACTTCTCAATTTTTGGAATATTTCGAACTATCGGTTTTGTGTCTTTTCAGTTTCTCGATGTACAAATTTTCACGTTTTTTATTTTCAATTTTTCGTTTTTTCAACTTCTTTGGATTTTTTTTTAATTCCTTAAGTACTTCCCCGGTTTCCAGTTTTTCTATTTTTCTATTTCACGATTTTTAATTTTTGAATTTTTCGGTGTTTCGGTTTCATTTTCTCGGTGTGCAATTTTTCACGTTTTTATTTTTCATTTTTACGATTTTTCAACTTTTCGATTTTACGATTTGTAATTTTCTAGTTTTTAATTTTTGATTGGTTTTTTAAATCTTTTCACGATTTTTAATTTTTGCATTTTACAATATTTCGATTTCTCAATTTTTGAATTTTTTGATATTTCGATTTCGTGTGTTTTTGGATGTGCAATTTTTCACGTTTTTATTTTTCAATTTTACGATTTTCCAACCTCTAGATTTTTGAAATTTTCTATTTTTTTTGGATTCATGAAGTATTTATGAATTTGTTAGTTGAAGTTTTCAATTTTTCGATTACCCGATTTTTATTTTTTGATTTTCTGTTTTTCGATTTTTGCAATTTTCGATTTTTTTTTTAATTCCTTAAGCACTTCCCCGATTTTTAATTTCAATTTTCGTTTGCCCAATATTTCTTTTTTTTTTTCAATGTCTTGTTTCTTCAATTTTTCGATTCACAATTCTTCTTGTTTTTTATTTAAATTTTTCACTTATAGACGATTTTTAATCAATTTTTGGACTATTCAATTTTTGAATTTTTCGATCTTTCGGTTTTGTCTTCAATTTCTCGATTTTTGAAATTTTAAATTTTTTTTGCTTCCTTAAGTACTTCAGCGATTTTAAAATTTTAGTTTTTTCCAATGTTTCGTTTCTTCAATTTTTCATGTTTTTTTTTTTTAGAATATTCAATTTTAGACTTGTAATTTTACGATTTTTCAATTTCAGGATTATTGAAATTTATAATTTTTCAACTTCTCATTTTTTTTTATTTTCGGCTTTGCGTCTTTTTAATTTCTCGATGTGAAATTTTTCGCGTTTTTTATTTCCAATTTTTCAATTTTTCAACTGCTCAACTTTTGAAATTTTTAATTTTTTTAATTCTTTAAGCACTTTCCCGATTTTCAATTTTTCAATTTTCTTAATGTTTGGTTTCTTCGATTATTCAATTTACAATTTTTCTAGTTTTTAACTTAAGTTTTCCAGTTTTTGATTTGTAATTTTTCCATGTTTCAATTTCACGATTTTTAATTTTTGAATTTTACAATTTTTCTACGTTTAAATTTTTTAATTTTTCGGTATTTCGGGTTTGTTTTTTCAATTTCTCGATGTGCAATTTTTCAATTTTTCAGTTTTCAATCTATCAATTTTTCGATTTTTAAAATTTTTTATTTTTTTTTGATTCATGAAATTTTGAATTTTCGATTTTTTTTAATGTTTTGTTTCGATTTCGTTTTTGCTTTAAACTTTTCGATTTGTGATTTGAAGTTGTCAGTTTTTCGATTTCCCGTTTTTTAATTCTTGAATTTAACAATTTTTAGACTTCTCGATTTTTGACTTTTTTGATATTTCGGTTTTGTGTTTTTTCAATTTTGCGATCTGCCATTTTGCACGTTTTAATTTTCAGTTTTTCGTTTTTTCAATATTTCATGTCGACAATTTTTCGATTTGCAATTTTTCTATTTTTTGAATAAAATTTTTTAATTTTTGATTTGCAATTTTTCAATTGCACGATTTTTCAATTTTTGAATTTCACAATTTTTGAAATTTACAATTTTTCAACTTTTCAATTTTAAAATTTTTCGATCATTCGGTTTTGTGTCTTTTTAATTTCTCGATGTGCAATTTTTCGCGTTTTTTGATTTTTTTCTATTCCTCATTTTTTTTAATCTATTTTTTCGTTTCTTCAATTTTTCAATCATCAATTTTAATAGTTTTTAATTTAAATTTTTGAATTTCAATTTAATTTTTCGATGTTTCGGGTGTAATTTCTCACGTTTTTAATTTTTTTAGGTGGCTTTTTTCAATCTTTTCGCGATTTTTAATTTTGAGTTTTACGATATTTCGATTTCTCAATTTTTGAATTTTTCGATATTTCGGTTTTGTGTGTTTTCAGTTTCTCGACGTGCAATTTTCCACGTTTGTATTTTTCAATTTTACGATTTTTCAACCTCTAGATTTTTGAAATTTACTATTTTTTTTTTGGATTCATGAAGTTTTCCAGCTTCACGATTTTTGAATTTTTTTTAATTCTTTAAGTACTTCCCCGGTTTTAATTTTTCATTTTTCAGTTTCACGATTTTTAATTTTTTAACTCTTCAATTTTTCCGTTTTTTCAATTATCCCTTTTTTCGCTTTCTTATTTTTCGATTTTTATTTTACATTTTTCGTTTTTCCGTTTTTTTGGACATACTTGTAGGTTTTTTCAATTTTTCAACCTTTAGATGGCTTAATTTTTCGTTTTCTGGTTTAAAAATCGATATTTTTTTCAACCTCTAGATTTTTAAAATTATATATTTTTTTTTTGGATTCATGAAGTTCCGACTTTTGAATTTTCGATTTTTTCAATGTTTTGTTTCATGTTTTAATTTTTGAATTTAACAATTTTTCGATTTTTGAATTTTTGGATGTTCCAGATTTGTGTTTTTTCAATTTCTCGATCTGCCGTTTTGCGCGTTTTAATTTTCCATTTTTCATTTTTTCAATGTTTTGTGTCGTCAGTTTTTCGATTTGCAATTTTTCTAGTTTTTAGTTAAAATTTTTTAATTTTTGATTTGCAGTTTTTCAATTGCACGATTCTTTAGTTTTTGAATTTTACCATTTTCCAACTTTTCGGTGTTTGGATTAATTTGTCACGTTTTTAATTTTCAATTTTTCGATTTTTTTTAGCTTCTCGATTTTTGAAATTTTAGCTTTTTTTCAATTTTTAACTTGTAATATTCCAATTTTTTATTTTCACGATTTTTGAAATGAACAATTTTTCAACTTTTCAATTTTTTAATTTTTCGATGTTTCGATTTTGCCTCTTTTTAATTTCGATTTTTCAACTTCTCGACTTTTGAAATTTTCGATTTTTCTTTTGAGTACCTCTCCGATTTTTAATTTTTCGATTTTTCGTTTCTTCAATTTTTCTAGTTTTTAACTTAAATGTTTCACTTTTAGATCTGCAATTTTTCGATTTTTCAGTGTCACAATTTTTTATTTTTCTGAACGTTTTAATTTTTGATTTTTTCAATTTTCCAACCTTTAGATGGCTTAATTTTTGGTTTTTTGGTTTAAATAATTAACATTCTCTAAATGTCATGAAATAATATACTCCTGTACTTGTGGTTTACGAACCTACCTTGATTTTATTTCGTTATATTACATTTTTTCACAAACCAAAATTCACAATTATCAGAACCTTTAACTCTTATGCAACACTTTATACTCCAACGTCATCACCGGCGCCTCCCCCTGCGACTCCCCCGACTTCTTCACACTCCTCCGCTTCGCAATCTCGAACTCCAACTCCCTCCCAATTTTCTGCGAAATCGGCGACGTAAACATGGCATACACCACCTCCGCCACCGGCTCCAACCCCACCTTCCCCCCATCCACCGCTTCCTTCACATTAACCCCATCCCTCAACTTCTGCGCATGCTTAACCGAGAGCTCGCACAACTTCGTCGCGATTCCTCTCTTCCGGTACTCCACCGAAGTGCTCAAAAACAAAATCTGCATCACGCAATCAACCCCACAGTGCTCAAAAATATCGAAAAACTCGTAGGTGGTCAGAATATAGTCCACGTATTGGCGGGACTTGGAGTTTTTGAAAGTGGCAAGAAATTTCTGAAAGAAGGGCTGCGACTTTACCTGAAACGCAGAATGTTAGTTTTGGGGTTTTTGGGGTGGCTGTGGTGGTACTAGAAACTTGTTGATGGACACACCGGCTATTTTGTCGGTGGTTTTGTCGACTGCTATGATGGACATGCCGTCTTTGGCCGCCTCGAGGGGGAGTTGCTCGAGTTCGGCGAGGGCTTCGGGGTCTTCCGGAACGCCGAAGCTGCGGCCGATGGTACCTTGTGAGAAGAGAATCTCTTTGGTGGTCTGTGCGGCTTGTTTTAGGTACTTTGGGGTTAATTTCTGGTACACGATTGTTCCTGTGTTAAATTAAAAAAAATGTAAAATAGTATGCTTTTATTGGTGAGAAGCGGCACTTACCATCGTCGCTGGTGGCTAAGATTACGTTTTCCATGGTGCGTTGAAACTCGGATGATGTGATATTTACTTTAATTATTATCTAAGCTGTTTCGTCTTTTTTATTTCCGTAGGCACGTACTTGGATTCAACTCAGTTACATCAGTTTTGTTATTGGGTAATATTGGAATGATAACAGGAAACCAAATCTAATCAAAGTTGAGAAAAATTCACCAGTTATCGTTTTATCAGTGCTTGTAGCCACTTCTGTTGAGTTACGAGTGCGTCATTTCACGTTCCCTTTGTTCGTAATATTCCATTAATCTAATCCAATTTACTTGTTTAGTATTTAAATTAAGCATGTGACTCTAATAAGAGTATTCTGTTATGGTGATAAGAAACAATTCACTTTATTTTTAGCATTTATTCGTAAATGAAGGTTAAACCAAAGTCGTTCTGACCCAAATTTTATAAAATATCATACCTCCACATTTGTGATCAGCTGTCAAGATTGAGAGATCGTTGACACTTTTAATTTGCAAAATGTATCCAAAACATAACCTAAATTTATCGCATATCACGATTGACGTATCTGTCATACATTTACTTCCGTTATGCCAACATAAACTCAAGTCATAGATTAATATAGATGCGACATACAGGCTGATTTTGCAAAACCACCCTTATTGACATTGGGGTCCTCAAGCGCCAAATTTAAATAGTTGATGCCAATAAAAAAACTTGTTTCACTACAACTCGTCGCCTGAGAACTTGTTTGATCTACAGACCAGAGCGCGCTCAGGCCAATGTCGACTCTAAGCGTTCAGAAGCGATTTGGTTGGTTTAGACTATAATTTCTGCGGAAAATAGTTGTTTGCTCGGTTTTTATAACGACTACGTGATTATTTTTGGTACATATTTAGATGATTTTACATATTTTGTTTAACTAAGAATTAATTCTTTATTTGTTTTATATTAGCAAAACGTCTTGAACTAAGAATATTGTTGAAATCGTATTAACCCAATGGATTTTTTCGAGAAAATATTTTGGAAACACTGCGTTTTATTTTATATGAATTTTTAAATGTTTTTAGTGACAATTTTTGTGGTTGTTTTCGATACAAAAATCGAAACCTTAAAAAATCGTAAAACCGAAACATTGAAAAGTCGAAATATCGAAGAACTGAAAATCGAAAAATGAAACATCAGATAATGGAAAAAATGTAAAATTCAAAAATCTAAAATTTAAAAACCGAATAACGAAAAATCGAGAAATCGAAAACTCCCAAATTTAAAAAATCAGATAAGTGAAAAATCGAAACATCGAAAAACTAGAAAATCGAAAAATCAAAAGATCAAGAAATCGTGGAGTCGAAAAGTCGAACAATTGAAAACCCGAAATGGGCCAAAATCGAAAAGTTAAAAATTGAACAATTTATAAATTGAGAAGTTGACAATCAAAATATCGAAAAATCCAAATCTCGATAAATCGAGAAATCAAAACACTTAAAAATTCGAAGAATTGAAAAATTGAGAGATGAAAGATCAAAAGAACGAGAAATCGAAAAGCGATGAAGTCGAAAAATCGAAAAATAGAGAAATCGACAAACACAAAGTTAAAAGTTGAAAAATTGGAAAAGCGGAAAAATCAAAAAACGAAAAAATGGAAGACTGGAAAAACTGAGAAACCGAAATAGGCCAAAATAAAAAATTGAAAAACTGATAAATCGAAAACCTGAACAATCAAATCTCGATAAATCGGGAATGAAAAATTAACAAATAGGAAAATTGAAAAACAGAACATCCAAAAACCAGGAAGTCGAAAAATCGAAAGATTAAGAAATATTGAAAAATTAAAATATCAAAAAGATTGAAAAATTTAAAATTTAAAAATCCAAAAATTGAAAAATCGAAAAAGTAAAAAGGTAGACACATCGAAAAATCCAGAAGTCAAAAATAGAAAAGCCGAAGAATTGAAATATTGAAAAATCCTAAAATTGAAATATCTAAAAACTGAAAAATCGAAAAATCAAAAAAGTGAAGTCGAAAAATAGAAACTTTAAAAAATAGAAAAATTAAAAAATCAAAAACTTGAAAAATCAAAAAATTAAAGAATTGAAGAACAGGAAAATCGAAACACTGGAAGGTTAAGAAATGGGAAAATCAAAACATCGATTAACTGAAAAATCGAAAAATTGAGAGTTTATGAAAGTCAAATTTGAAAAATTAAAAAATCGAAAATTTGACAAAATGACAATTGAAAAACAGAAAAGCTAAAACCGAGAAGACGAAAAATCGAAATCGAAACATTTGAAAAATTCGAAAACTTGCAAAATTCAAATATCAAAGAACTGAACTGAAAAATCGAGAAATCGAAAAATTTAAAATTTTAAAAATTAAAAAATCTAAAATTTAAAAATTGAAAAATCGAAAAAGTAAAATAATCCACACATCGAAAAAGCCAGGAGTTAAAAATCGAAAAGTGGAAGAATTGAAATATTGAAAAATCCCAAAATTGAGATATCGAAAAACTGAACAATGAAAGAAAAACTGAGAATCTAATAACCTGAAAAATCCAAAAACTGAGAACCTAAAAAGTCGAAAAATTGAGCAATCGAAAAATCCAAAAAGTGAAGTCGAAAAATCGAAATCTTGAAAAAACTAAAAAATGAAAAATCGAAAAATTAAAGAATTGAATAACAGGAATATCGAAACCCTCGAAAGTCAAGAAACGGAAAAATCAAAACATCGATTAATTGTAAAATCGAAAAATTGACAGTTTATAAATGCCAAATTTGAAAAATTGAAAAAACGACAATTGAAAAACAGAAAATCTAAAACCGGGAAGTCGAAAAATCGATAGATAATATCGAAGAACTGAAATGAAAAATCGAGAAATTGAAAAATCTAAAATTTTAAATATTGAAAAATTAAAGTACCAAAAAATTGAGAAATCTAAAATTTAAAAATCGAAAATGTAAAAAGTCAACACATCGAAAAATCCAGAAGTCAAAAATGGAAAAGTCGAAGAATAGAAATATTGAAAAATCCCTAAACTGAAATATCGAAAAACTGAAAAATGAAAGAAAAACTAAAAATGGGAAACTAAATCGAAATGCGAATTTTTGAGAATTTTTAATAATTTCGATATTTGAAACGTCGATTCCGGAAAAACGTTATCAAAAAACCTAACCAAAATTTGGCAGTTTATTTTATTAATAAAGAACGACTATAAAAAAATTAAATTGGCACAATCACATCTTATAGTTTTTCGATAAATCTGGATTAATTTACCTTCGAATTCATCGTTCTTCCTTTTTCCGCGATTTTACAATTTTTTGATATCACAATTTTTCGTTTTCTCATTTTCTTTAATTTTTTCAATTTCTCGGCTTCCAAATTATTCCATTTTTTATTTCTTCATTTCCTTTATTTTTTCAATGTTTCTTTTGATTTTATAATGTTTGGTTCAATCAGTTCTTCAAATTGCCAGTATTAGATTTTTAAATTCCTTGATTTTCTCATTTCTTTAATTTTCTTTCAATATTCCGATTTGGTTTTTCCGATTTTGCACTTTTTCGATTTTTAAGTTTCTCAGTTTGTAAACGACTTTTTATTTTAAGTTAAAAATGTTATGATAAAAAAATAAAATTGGCAAAATCAAATCTTATAATTTACCTTCGACCTATTTTTGAATGTCATAATTTTTCATTCTTCCTTTTTCCTCGATTTTCCAATTTTTTGATATCACAATTTTAGGTTTTCTTATTTTCTTTATTGCTCTAATTTTTCAATTTTACAATATTTCGTTTTTTTTTAATTTCAATTTTTTACATTTTTCAATTTCTCGACTTCCAAATTTTTCAATTTTTTGTTTCTTCAATTTTTCCGTTTGCAATTTTTCAATTTTGTAATTTTGCTACGTTACAATTTTTCATTTTTCGATTTTTTGTTTCCCAATTTTTGATTTTTCGATTTTTTAATTTTTCGTTTCCTCAATTTTTCAATTTCTCGATTTTATATCAGAATTTTTCGTTTGCTCACTTTCTTTAGTTTTCCAATTTTTCGTTTTACAATATTTCGGTGTCAAAATTTTCCGTTTTTTCTACTTTAATTTTTTCAAATCTTCAATTTCACGACTTCAAAATTTTTTAATTTTTTGTTTCTTCAATTTTTCCGTTTGCAATTTTTCAATTTTGAAATTTTGCGATGTTGCAATTTTTCATTTTTCAATTTCTCGATTTTATATCAAAATTGTTCGTTTTTTCATTTCCTTTATTTTTTCAATGTTCCCTTCGATTTCATTTTTTTTTTGTTCATTGAGTTCTTTAAATTGTCAATCTTTGATTTTTCAATTGATTTATTAAACTTTTCAATTGTACAATTTTTGGATTTCTTAATTATCTGATTTTCCGATTTCTTTAATTGCCTTTCAATATTTCGTTTTAGTTTTTTCGATTTTGCACTTTTTCGATTTTCAAATTTCTCAATTTTTAAACGTTTGATTTTTCAGTTTTTCCTGTCTTCAATTTTTCAACATCTTGATTTCCAATTTTTAGATATTTTTTTTATACTTTTTGTTTTTTTCATTTTTGATTTTTCAATTTTATAATTTTGCAATTTTTGCACTTTTTAATTCAAAAAGTTGAAAAATTGGAAATTTGAGAGATCTCAAAATTGAAATATCCGTAAATTGAGAAATTAGAAAATTGAAAAATCGAGTAATCGAAAAGTTGAAGAATCAAAAAACCCAAGTCGAAAAATTAAAAAATCAAAAACATCTAAAACTTTAAAATCCAATAAATGAAAAATCGAAAAAGTAAATTGATTTTTCAGTTTTTAATTTTTTAATGTTTTAAATTTTCGATATTTCAGTTTTGGGACTTTTCACTATTTGACTTCAATTATTCAATTTTTTTATTCGAAAAATTAAAAAATGAAAATATTTAAAAATCAAAAATATAAAAATTGAGAATCGAAATATTGAAAAATCCCGAAGAAAAAGTCGACAAATACAAAAATCGAAGTCAAGAGATGGAAAAAATTTAAAAATCTAAAATTTAAAAATCGAAAAATTGAAAAATCGTATTTGTAATTCGATTTTTCAATTTTTGAAGTTTTAGATTTTTAAAAAAGTCGTCTAAAAATTCTGAAAAAATTCAGGAACGTAGATCTCGACACGCTGATTACAAAAATATAGCATGTGGATGGTCACGGAGCAACATTTTCCAAAGAATCGGTTCGAAATTCGAATTTTTGAGAATTTCTAAAAATTTCGATATTTCAACGGTCGATTCCGGAAAAACGGTTGCTGTTATCAAAGAAACGAGGCCAGAAGTGAGTTCTAGACCTCGCAATCTACCAGAAAATGTATTTAGTTAAGTTTCAAAAATGTCAACATTTGGCCGAAATTTGAAGAAGGGGGGACCATTGGAAAAATTTCACTTTTAAAAAAGTCGTCTAAAAATTGCGAAAAAATTCAGGGACGTAGATCTCGACATGCTGATTCCAAAAATATAATGTGTTGGCGGTCACGGAGCAACATTTTCGATAGAATCGGTACCAAATGCGAATTTTCTTGAATTTCTAAAAATTTCGATATTTCAAAGGTCGATTCCGGAAAAACCGTTGCAGTTATCAAAGTAAGCAGGCCCGAACTAAGTTCTAGAGCTCGAAATCTTCTAGAAAATGTATTTAGTTAAGTTTCGAAAATGTCAAAATTTCGCCGAAATTTGAAGAAGGGGGGACCATTGGAAAAATTTCACTTTTAAAAAAGTCGTCTAAAAATTGCGAAAAAATTCAGGGACGTAGATCTCGACATGCTGATTCCAAAAATATAATGTGTTGGTGGTCACGGAGCAACATTATCGAAAGAATCGGTACGAAATGCGAATTTTTGAGAATTTCTAAAAATTTCGATATTTCAAAGGTCGATTCCGGAAAAACCGTTGCAGTTATCAAAGTAAGCAGGCCCGAACTAAGTTCTAGAGCTCGAAATCTTCTAGAAAATGTATTTAGTTAAGTTTCGAAAATGTCAAAATTTCGCCGAAATTTGAAGAAGGGGAGACCATTGGAAAAATTTCACTTTTAAAAAAGTCGTCTAAAAATTGCGAAAAAATTCAGGGACGTAGATCTCGACATGCTGATTCCAAAAATATAATGTGTTGGTGGTCACGGAGCAACATTATCGAAAGAATCGGTACGAAATGCGAATTTTTGAGAATTTCTAAAAATTTCGATATTTCAAAGGTCGATTCCGGAAAAACCGTTGCAGTTATCAAAGTAAGCAGGCCCGAACTAAGTTCTAGAGCTCGAAATCTTCTAGAAAATGTATTTAGTTAAGTTTCAAAAATGTCAACATTTGGCCGAAATTTGAAGAAGGGGGGACCATTGGAAAAATTTCACTTTTAAAAAAGTCGTCTAAAAATTGCGAAAAAATTCAAGGACGTAGATCTCGACATGCTGATTACAAAAATATAGCATGTAGATGGTCACGGAGCAACATTTTCTAAAGAATCGGTACGAAATGCGAATTTTTGAGAATTTCTAAAAATTTCGATATTTCAACAGTCGATTCCGGAAAAACGATTGCAGCTATCAAAGAAACGAGGACGGAATTGACTTCTGGAGCTCGAAATCTACCAGAAAATGTAGTTAGTTAAGTTTCGAAAATGTCAAAATTTTGTCGAAATTTGACCATTGGAAAAATTTCACTTTTAAAAAAGTCGTCTAAAAATTGCAAAAAAATTCAGGGACGTAGATCTCGACATGCTGATTCCAAAAATGTAGCGTGTTGATGCTCACGGAGCTTTTTTTCGAGGGAATCGGTACGAAATGCCAATTTTTGGGTATTTCTAAAAATTTCGATATTTCAACGGTCGATTCCGGAAAAACGGTTGCAGCTATCAAAGAAACGAGGGCGGAAGTAACTTCTGGAGCTCGAAATCAACCAGAAAATGAAGTTAGTTAAGTTTCGAAAATGTCAAAATTTGGCCGAAATTTGAAAAAGGGGAAAAATTTCACTTCTATAAAAGTCGTCTAAAAATGGCGAAAAAATTCAGGGACGTAGATCTCGACATGCTGATTCCAAAAATATAGTGTGTTGATGGTCACCGAACAACATTTTCGAAAGGACGCCCACCTCCCATGGAGTCCAAAGAATTCAAAGAATCCAGAAAACCCAAAAATTTAGAAAATCCAAAAAATCCAGAAAATCCAAATAATCCGAAAAAATCTAAAAAATTAAAAAAAAATAAATAAGAAATCCAAAGAATCCGAAGAATCTAAGGAGTCCAAGGATTCCAAAAAATCCCAAGGATCAAAACGATCCTAATGATGCAAAGAATCAAAAGAAATCAAAGAATCCAGAAAATACAAAAAAATTCAAAGAATCCAGAAAATACAAAAAAATTCAAAGAATCCCAAAAATCCAAAAAGTGCAGAAAATCAAGAAATTCCAAAAGATTGGAAAAAAACAGAGAAATCGAAGAATGTAAAGAGTCCAAGGAATCCAAAGAATCTCAAGAATCCAAAGAGTCCAAAGAATCCAAAGGATCCAAAGAATCCAGAAAATCCAAAAAATCGAGAAAATCCAGAAACCCCAAGATTCGAAAAAATCCAAAGAGTTCAAGGAATCCAAAGAATCCAAATGATCTAAAGAATCCATAGAATTCGTGAAGTCCAAGGAATCCAAAGAATCCAAAGAATTGAAAAAAGCCAGAAAATCCGAATAATCCGAAACATTCTAAAAAAAAATCTAAAGAATCCAAAGAATCTAATGAGTTCAAGGAATCGAAAGAATCGAAAAACTACAAAAAAATCCAAAAAATCTAGAAAATCCAAAAGATCCAAAAAATCCAGAAAATCCAAATAATCCGAAAAGTTCTAAAAAATGAAAAAAAAACCAAAGAATCCAAAGAATCTAAGGATCCAAAGATTCAAAAGACCCAAAGAATGAAAAGAAATCAAAGAATCCAGAAAATAAAAAAAATTCAAAAAATCCAGAAAATATAAAAAATTCAAAAAATCCAAAAATTGCAGAAAATCAAAAAATTACAAAAGATTCGAAAAAGTCGGAAAAATCCAAAGGATCCAAAGTTTTTTTAGAAGGTATGTCATTTGCCAAAATCAGTCTTAGCGGCTACTAGCCCCGCCCACTCACCCTCTCTTTTCTTAGAGGGGATGTTAAAAATTCCAGCCTTGTGCCCATAAGTATGCTCGTAATGTTTACCCGAATTTTGATAATTTTCTTAAAAGTGAGCCATCAGTTCTTGCTAAGATAAAACTGATTTTGGCAAATGACATACTTTCTAAGAAAAGAGAGGGTGGGTGGGCGGGGCTAGTTCCTGCTAAGATAAGAGTAATTTTGGCAGATGAGATACCCTCTACGAGAAAGGAGGGTGGGTGGGCGGGGTTAGTGCCTGCCAAGATAAGACTAATTTTGGCAAATGACATTATATTAGCAGATACAAGCCCCGCCCACTCACCCTCTCTTTTCCAAGAGGGTATGTCATTTGCCAAAGTTAGTGTTACCTTAGCCTGATGCTAGCCCCGCCCACCCTCCCTCTCTTTTGCTAGAGGATATCTCATTTGCCAAAATCAGTCTTAGCGGCTACTAGTCCCGCCCACTCACCTTCTCTTTTCTTAGAGGGGATGTTAAAAATTCCAGCCTTGTGCGCATAAGTATGCTCGTAGTGTTTCCAAATTTTGATAATTTTCTTAAAAGTGAGCCATCAGTACTGGCTAAGATAAAACTGATTTTGGCAAATGACATTCTTTCTAAGAAAAGAGAAGGTGGGTGGGTGGGGCTAGTTCCTGCTAAGATAAGAGTAATTTTGGCAGATGAGATACTCTCAAAGAAAAGAGAGGGTGGGTGGGCGGGGCTAGTGCCTGCCAAGATAACACTAATTTTGGCAAATGACATTACATTATCAGGGTACTAGCCCCGCCCACCCACCTTCTCTTTTTTTAGAGGATGTCATTTGCCAAGATCAGTTTTATCTTAGCAGCTACTAGCCCCAAAATTTTTCCGAGAAAATGCTATCTTAAATATGCGTTGTGCAAAGTATGATGAGTCTATAATTGCGATTTATAACGGCATAAATATTTTTTAGATTTGCTTAAATAGGTGGATCAAAAAAATTAATGAGTCAGTCAATTTATTATTGACCAAATTAAGAACGAGCCACCCCATTTTCTGGAAAATGTGAGAATACGCTCGTCTTTATAACAATAAAATAATGATAAGGTAAGAATCATAATAATAACGTTAGGGCTTATGAATAATTTTAGTCGTCTGTTTTGGGGCGATAAACTCATTCAAATTAAACCAATGTCTACGTGACATTCTTCCGATGTAATGTATTCCCGTTGATAATGTGCTGTTAATAAATTTTTTTAGATTAAAAAACTTATTTGGCCTGGGTGTTTTTCATCTTTTCATCATAATTCGAATTGAAAAAAGAAACCGATGTTATTTTTCTGCCGTTTTATTACCTTGTTTTAAGTTTATGACACAACAAATCTCACTAATTTATAACTTTTTATATTCCAAAGTCAATTTCGTGCTACCATTAGTAATAACATCTGAAAATTTCGTCCCTTGGAAGTCCATCTCGTTGTAAAATTTTTCAGCGACGACTTCAAACCCCAAGCGTCTTCCAATTTTCTGTGTCGCTATAGTGGCGAAAATAGCACTAATAATTTTAGGCCTGGGTCCCAGCGGCAGTTCCGTACCATCAAGGGACTTCCTCGCATTGACACCCTTCGCCAAATTGGTCCCAATTTCAAAAGTAATTTCGCTCAGCTTCTTGGCTATTCCTTTCCCTCTATATTCAGTGGTAGTACCCAAAAACATCAACTCTAACAGGCAATCGGTCTGGCAATAGTCAAAGAGATTGCACAGACTGTCAATTTCAGACATAAGTTCGACGAGAGCTTTAGACCGGGGACTCTTCCACGACTTGGCAAAATTTTCAAAGACGGGATCATTCTTCACCTGAAAATTTCACATTGTGTTGTAGATATTGAGTAAATTTCACAGACTTGCCTGTATTTTATTAAACGCTGTTCCTACAACTTTGTTGGTTTTCTTATCAATCGCTATGACACTGATTCCATCTTTGGCAGCTGCGTTAGTTAAGTCGCGAAGTTCGCGAACAGCTTCAGGATCTTCGGAAATACCTAAAACCATGCAGACATTTTCTTGAGGGTAGAACGAGGTTTCTAACATTTTGGTGACTTCTTCCAGGTAGTCTGCCGTCAAACGTTGACAATAGATATCGTCTTAAATAAAAAGGAAAATGAAACTAAAACTACATTTGTTCATACTAACTTACCATTAACCCACCATTTTTGAATATCCATTTTGTGGTGTTGTGCTTTCTGCACGTTCTGCATTAGTTGTTGTTCAAAAATATATCAGACATGCAACCTTCAAGCTATGTTTTTTACTGTACAAGTTTATCGATGCGCATATTTTAAGCTAGAAATGTACTTACTTTGTTTTTTATCAAAAGCATTTGTTGATAACTGCAGTAATAATTATTTGCACCTTGAATGTAAATTCTGTACTGATATAAGTATATGGTCGTTCCTTTTATACTTTGACAAGAATTATGGGGTGAGTACCTACTGTCTAGTACCGGAGGTCTTCTTCACTGGAGTTGTCACCCAAGTAGTGGGTTTTATTTAAAGTGCAATTTCTTAGATAATAATAATTATTATAGGTTGTTATTACAAACACAAAAACAACAACTTATAAATAGTACCACGTACGATATAATGAACTGTTATTTACATGTGATAAGTATTAATAAAACCAGCACGTGTTGATTTGTGTTTATTACACAAATTCATGTCTTACCTACTCGACTGTCTGTCTCGAAGAGATCCAGTCCTTGCAAAAAACATCAGTACCTACGCCATGCGCAGATGCGCAGTGGCGTTCCTTAACATCTCATTATTAACCTACTTCCTACTTAACCTACTGTACACTTAATCTACGCCTTAATTAATATTAGAGATGTACCGCCTATAGTCGGCCGACTAGTCGGCTTTGTCAAAACCGGTTAAAATTGGTTTAATCGACTGAAAATTTGTGTCAAAGTGTAGATAATCTTCCGCTAGTTACGATTCTGAAATCGCCGTCACGATATCTGGTCCAATAAACACGCAAAGCGAATTCAAAATTTCCAAAAAAGTGGTTAAAATTGGTTAAGTATTGTATAAACTGCTCTAAATTGTGTTATTCTTTATTTTTGTACTGAGTTACTACAAAAAATTAAATGTTAAAATTATCCAAACAAATTTAACACATTTTTTGGAAAACAAAGAAACTTTAGTTATTCCTTTTATTAAAATAAAACAAGTTTTTAAGGTAGTCAGAGAAATAGAAAAAAAACACACTGTCTGTTGCATTTATAAACCGGTTTTAGCAAAGCGGAACAGTCGGCCGACTATAGTCGGTACATCTCTAATTAATACATTACAACATGAAATCTACAACTGCATATCCTGTTTATATTTCAAGAGCTGGTGACCGCTTACATTAACAATATCTTAATAATTCATAGCCTCTTATATTCCAACGTGATTTTCGTACTACCATTAGTAATAACATCTGAAAATTTCGTCCCTTGAAACTCCATCTCGTTGTAAAATTTTTCAGCAACCATTTCAAACCCCAAATGTCTTCCAATTTTCTGTGTCGCTATAGTTGCGAACATGGCACTAATAACTTTAGGTCTGGGACCCAGCGGCAGCTCGGTACCATCAAGCGACTTCCTAACATTGACACCCTTCGCCAGACTGGTACCAATTTCCAAAGTAATTTCGCTCAGCTTCTTGGCTATTCCTTTCCCTCTATAGTCAGTCGCAGTTGTCAGAAACATCAACTCCGGGGACTCTTCCACGACTTGGCAAAATTTTCAAAGACGGGATCATTCTTCACCTGAAAATTTCACATTGTGTTGTAGATATTGAGTAAATTTCACAGACTTGCCTGTATTTTATTAAACGCTGTTCCTACAACTTTGTTGGTTTTCTTATCAATCGCTATGACACTGATTCCATCTTTGGCAGCTGCGTTAGTTAAGTCGCGAAGTTCGCGAACAGCTTCAGGATCTTCGGAAATACCTAAAACCATGCAGACATTTTCTTGAGGGTAGAACGAGGTTTCTAACATTTTGGTGGCTTCTTCCAGGTAGTCTGCCGTCAAACGTTGACAATAGATATCGTCTTAAATAAAAAGGAAAATGAAACTAAAACTACATTTGTTCATACTAACTTACCATTAACCCACCATTTTTGAATATCCATTTTGTGGTGTTGTGCTTTCTGCACGTTCTGCATTAGTTGTTGTTCAAAAATATATCAGACATGCAACCTTCAAGCTATGTTTTTTACTGTACAAGTTTATCGATGCGCATATTTTAAGCCAGAAATGTACTTACTTTGTTTTTTATCAAAGCATTTGTTGATAACTGCAGTAATAATTATTTGCACCTTGAATGTAAATTCTGTACTGATATAAGTATATGGTCGTTCCTTTTATACTTTGACAAGAATTATGGGGTGAGTACCTACTGTCTAGTACTGGAGGTCTTCTTCACTGGAGTTGTCACCCAAGTAGTGGGTTTTATTTAAAGTGCAATTTCTTAGACAATAATAATTATAAGTAGAGTATAAAATGTTACTTCTGGACCAGGGCATTTGGCGTCTTAAAAAACAAGGCAGAATCCTACAAATTTAGCTGTTTGCCCAAAAGCAAACAACCAAAAAAAGGCCTAAAACTTCTCAAAACGCATTAATTTTTATTCACCCCAAAAGTACCCAAATATGTGTAGACCACCAAAAATTGGGCACATGAAAAAACAAGGTAAAATTCTACAAATTTAGTGTTTTCCCAAAAGTAAACAACCGAAAAAGATCTAAAAAAATTAGAAAATGCCTTGTTTTTAAACACGCCAAAATGGCTTTCTATTTCTGGACCAGGGCATTTGGCGTCTTCAAAAAACAAGACAGAATCCTAAAAATTTAGCTGTTCTCCCAAAAGTACCAAATATCTGTAGACCACCAAAAATTGGGCACACAAAAAAAAAACCGTTAAAATCTCCCAAAATAATGCAAAATTATCTCAAGAACGCCCTAAAATACTAACAAAATACCTTGTTTTTAGACACTGTAAAAATGACTTTTTATTCCTGGACCAGACCAATTGGCGCATGCAAAAATCATTGAAAAACGTCCAAAAGAAAGACCATTGAAAAGAATGCAAAACAACCGAAAAAGGTCCAAAATCCTTCAAAAATCATAAATTTTGATGCATCCAATATAGCTTTTCGTTTCTGGATGAAGTCAATTGGCACATGCAAAAATCATTGAAAAACAATCGAAAAAAGGCCAAAAAAAATCCTATCCCTATCTCTCGGTTTTCAACATCCCAAAATGGATTTTTATTTCTGGACCAGAGCAATTGGCGCCTAAAAAAAAAATAAGTCCTAAAAAGTTGTTAAAATTATTGAAAAGGTCAAAGTTCCTCAGTTTTAGATACCCAAAAATGGCTTTTCATTGACGGTTCCGGATAATAATTCTACTCCGTTCGCGGTGCGTGCAACACGTGTGCTGGTGTGCGGTCTGTGAATAGTGTTCAATTTTGGATTTCTGCCCCTGTGGGGTAATCTTGGTTTGCATAATTAATCTTTAGTTATTAATTTTTCTTTTCTGCCATCTTTTTTACTATTTTTTTTTTAATTGTATTTTGGTTACTATCACTGGAATTGTACTGACCTTACTGATATTTTCTTTTGCACGGCCTCCGTTGGAGGTTGTGCATATAGTTTCTTAGTTATAGTACGCCTTAATTATGACTATTAAATGCAGTAAATGCTTCCTTAAGATTGGGCGCAATGACTTGAATGTATCATGCAATCAGTGTAAACATTATTATCACATAAAATGCGGTGGCTTAACAGTAGAAAGTTATCAAAGTATGGATGATAAAGAGTTACTTAATAAGTGGCTGTGCTCATTTTGTAAACTGAAAAAAAATACTTCATCTACTGGTATACAAACTGATTCTGCTGATGACGACATAGTTACCGTTTCTGTTGCTGAATTAAAACATTTGTTTACCAACATTCTAAATCAGGAATTGCAGCCACTTATTCAGCAAATTGATTCTCTTAAGTCTGAGATCCAGCAATTAAGTAATCAGAATACTCAGCTCCGGGAAGATGTTGTAAAACTTGCTAGAGATAATGGTGGCTCGAATAAAACTCCTGATCATGTGCCCACGTCTTCTGCTACTTCAGCCAGGGAAACTTACGCGGAAACAGTAGCTAAGAGCATAAATAATACAGTTATTGTTCGTCCCAAAGATAAATCTCAGACCATCAATAAGACTAAATCTGACATTATGGCAAATATTGATTCTGTTGCATCCTCTGTTAGCAAAGTAAAAAATCTTAAAGATGGCGGTATTCTTCTTGGATGTCAGGATATAACTAGATTTAAACGTCTAGCTGATGATAAACTTGCGGGAGCGTATGATATAAGAGAAGTTAGTACACTTAAGCCTCGTATCAGAATTGCTGGAATTTCCAAGGATATTAGTGAATCAAGTGTCCTGGATTTTTTGGTCAAACAAAATGAGTTTATTTTTAGCAACGATGAAGAGAATGTATACAAGTTGATTAAATTTTTGCCTGTGAAAAATAAGTCTGACCGTTTTCAAGTAATTGTTGAAGTAGACATCGCCTCCTATAAAAAAGCCATTAGCATAGGGCACTGCCTAATAGGTTTAGACAGATGTTATATCTTTTGTGGTATTGATATTTTCCGGTGTTTCACTTGTAATGGTTTTAACCATTCATCCAGCTCTTGCAAAAGTAATGTTATCTGTCCTCGCTGTGCTGGGAACCATAGTGTTAAAGAGTGTCAAGCCGAGAAGCTGCGTTGTATAAATTGTACCAACATGAAATCGTCTGGTAATCACGATCAAATAAATGATGATCATGCTGCTTGGGACCGAGATAACTGCCATTCATATAGTGCTGCTATTAACAAAATAAAACGTGATGTTTTTGGCTTATCTTCATAGCAATTATTCCTTGCAGATTCATTCCACTCCCTAAATTTATCATCATTGCAGTCTAGTAGCGATATATCAATCGACAATTCTGTTGTTGTTGTCTCTCCTTCTATAGTTAAAACTGTTGAGGATGCATTTATCACACTTTATTATCAAAATACTCGTGGTATTAACTCTAAATTTAATGAACTTTATCAATCTTTATTGTGTTGCGATTTTGATTTTATCTGCCTTACAGAAACTTGGCTTTCTAGTTCTGTGCTTAACTCTGAATTTTGCCCTAACAATTATATAGTCCTCAGATCAGACAGAAATTTTGATAAAACTAATGTAACTAGAGGAGGAGGAGTTCTTCTTGCGTCCAAGTTACAATTTTCAACTATCCAACTTGACCTGGCGTCTAAAGGGTTTGACATGCTTATTTTCACAGACATTCTTGGGGCTAAATGTAGTGTTGGCTATTTCAGTTTCTATATCTTCATTGTTTATATTCCACCTAAATCTACGGTTGATGAATACATACTATTGTTCAATTTACTGGGTAATCTAGAAGAACTATTCAACCAACGTGTAATAATTATTGGTGATTTCAATCTTCCTGATTATGACAAAGATTCTTTGTGTGATAAATCTGGCAATAGTAAATTATCTTCGTTGATGTCTTTTTTGAACTTTTTTGAACTTAATCAATATAATAATATCGCTAATAAGTCTGGGAGATATCTTGATCTGGTTTTGTCTAACTTTCATTGTTTTATTAGCTCTTGTGAAGATCCTCTTCTAGAAGAGGATTCACATCACCCAACGTTGTTAGCTTCTTTTAAAAATCGTGAATCTAAAGCTAAAACCATTAACGGTCATCCCTCCTTGCAGCGTTGGAATTTTCGCAGAGCGGATGTTACTGGGTTGTATGAGCATCTATTATGCATTGACTGGTCCTTTCTTAAAAGCATCACTGATGTTAACTTAGCATGTTCCTGTTTTTATAGTAAATTAAACAACATTTTGGATGTACATGTTCCCAAGTCTCGTTCCTCTCGTTTAAGCTCGTATCCACCTTGGTTCTCCTATGACATTAGAAAGAAACTTAAATTGAAGTCCAAATTATGGCGTTTGTCTAGAACCAATAGATCTGAATATAACATTCGCAATTTTAAGACTATTCGCTCTTCATTAAAGAATGACATCAAGTTGGCACATCGCAGATATCTTGAGAATCTGGAAACTGATATTAAAGAAAAT